TGTATGTGTATATATATATATAGTGGATTTACCAAGTGAAGTTGTTGTTGAAAACAATTTAAGTTGCCTTTCCAATTTAGTATTTCCTTGATTCCAGAAGTGCTTAAGTGAAAATTAGCAATCTAGGAATTTGGAAGAGGCTCTAAAACTAGGGTAGTAGTGAGGCTACTCTGAGCATCTAGTGGGTACAAGATGGTAAGACAAAGTATCTAAATTATAATTAATAAAAAATAATAAATATTCAAATAACAAACAGTTGTATTAATTATTCATCTCAGGAAATGGCAAAAAGTCATTACTCTTAACTTTTTCCTAGTTGCTTACCAATCCCAAAATGTAAAGATCATTAGCAATGAATGCAAGATATCCAACACTGTTAAAGCTTTAAAAACAAATGAGTGTTCAATTTAGTTTTACAAAGAATGAGTCACTAAAAAATATATTTATACCAACATAAAAATAAGCACTTCTCACTTATACATATGACCAACACAAACCATAGACAAAAAAATTCAACTATTTTATATTATTCATTCCTTAATGACAGTATTTATCAATCGATACAATTTTATACCTTACTAACACGTAGTTATTATCATTTGGTTTTCCACTGTAGTGGTGAAAATTAGTTTTTTTTCAAGGCAATGAATGCTAAGTGTATTAGGCTAATTATAAATAGTGTATACAAGACACTATGTTTAGAAAAAGATACAAGGTTTTCAAAGACAATCTCTTTTTGCAACCATTTGGTGTGCAACTGAGTTATGCATACAGTAGGCTGGCTCAAGTGAATGTAAACATTATTAGATATACTTGAATATCTCCACAGGTTAATGCATTTATTTGAAATATATTTCAGAATAAGCATTATGACTAACTTTAAACAACAATATATTTGACCATTTTAACATTCAAGGTTAGAAAAGCAATATTACGTACGACACCAAAATTATATATTTTTTTGTGGTCAAGTTACTTCTTACAGCTGACTTTAATGATATTTTTTTTCTTAACTATTATATATTTATATATATATATTCCCCCCCCCCCAATTAATTCTAGTATTCTAATGGTTTCAAGTCATCAACAACACTAGTGCCAGAGAATGTAAGAGGAAGATTTCAGGGTGAAAAACTATATTCATGTATCTTTCAGAGCATGCACAATACAAGGCAGTCTTGGTTGCTTATGTAACATTATCACCTTAATGCTCTTCTCTTTAACTACAAAATATACAATTAAATGTGTCTTTAACCATGTAATCTACATTCAAATGTTTCTATGTAGTGAACAATCACTGTTTTAACTTCGTAGTACACGTTCAAATGTGTCTTGAACTATGTAGAATACATAAAAATGTCTCTATGTATTGCACAATCAAATGTCTCTGTTTGCTTGTTTTGTGAATTTCCTACAAAGCTGCTTAGGGGCTATCTACACTAGCAGTCCTTAATATTGAAGTGGTTGACTAGAAGGAAGGCAGCTAGTCAACATCACCTACAATGCAACTCTATCATTCAAAAATGGGATTACCTATCACATTATCATTCCCCCTGTCCCCCCAGCTGAAAGGGTATGTTTAGTAATAAGATTAAAAAACAATAAAAAACATTCTACATCCATTATACAGCCCCAATCATAATATAGACCATTAATGATATTTAATACAATTTTTTACACTCAAGTAGTGCCTGTAAAATTATATTTTCATACATTTCAGCATTGTAAGAAGTTATCTGTATTTGCTTTAGGTAATGTACTGACATAGGTATATGAGATACTCACATTGCATAACTTCATCAACTTTTAAAGAAAATGTAGAAGAAAAATGAAAATTTCTCTAGCTGGGAACAATAACTTGTAAAAAGAACTTTAATTTTCTCTGTCTTTTTCAAAATTTAATAATATTATCTGATAATATTCCATCTTTGAAATTTCATTTAAGCATATTCATGAAGTATTCTTTAATATTTTCTATTTATATCTAATTGCCAAGTTCCTAATACGGGCAGTTTACATGCAATTTTCAACTTGAAATCCATTAATTTCAAAAGATGTTTTAATATTTAGCATAACTTACCATTTCCAACCTAGAATTTTTATTTTATTTTTCTGTTTTTATAAATCAGTGAATTGTAAAAGTATGATTAATACTCAAAACTGTCATACATCCCTATCTTTTTACAAATTGTTTTATATAAAATAGAAACAAAGATCAAGCACCACTCACATGCGACCCCGACAATACAATCTTTTATGTAACTCCAGAATCAAGGGTCCAATGCTCTCTCTTGGAAGCCTCTTAACTGTGTTTAATATCATAGTTTCATCATCTCTGTACAGAACACTCTGAAATGTGAATGATATGGACATTGCAGGTTATGTTCATCAGATCTTTCAATAGTACACAAAAACCTACTCTAAGTACTATTATTTCATTTCAGGATATTTGATTTTGAAATTAGAATATAATAACCTGTATAACAGTAACAAAATACCAGTTTTACAGAAATTTAAATTACCTAAAATCAAGTAAATTACTTAGGTCCCTAGTGCAAAGATGTTTTGTTCACTAGAGGGGAGAAAAAAGATAGTAGTTGATTATTAACAGTAGAAAAAAACTTATTTTTAAACATGTGTTCTTCTTTTTTTTATGTCAGTTGTGAATTAGACTGATATAAGACAGAGAGAGAGGAGAATGAACTGTGGATTACTTTAGTAAATTAACTAATTTAAATTTATTTACCTTTTTCACAAGTTACATTATGAAAATGGTATAAATATGACCGATGTTTTAATAAAGAATAGTATTTTCTTTTTGTTAAGCACAAAGCTACACAATGAGCTATCTGTGCTGTGGCCATTGTGAGTATCAAAACCTGATTTTTAGTAATAAAAAATCTCGAGACTTACCACTGAGCTAGAAAGAGGCAAAAGCATAATCACTCAGAAGTTTTGGGTGAATGAATGACAGTACTAAAGACAATTCACAAAATTCAACTGAAGTTTGCCTAAGTTACTTGATAACATTCCATAAAAAACAAGAGAATGGACTTGGCCAGAGAAAAGTAAATATAAAAAGCAACAGTATTAAAAGGTGACTCAGAAATGGACACATCACTCGAATATTCCAACATCAAGAAAATGCTCAACAGCAGAAAGAAGTGGAATATCAACTTTGCCACGAAGGATTTTGAGATTCTATGACTAAAAAAGCCATATACTGAAGTATACTCTTAATCTTAAGAAAATAACTCATAATAAATTTAAACAATCAGACCACAGATGCTGGAATAATTGCCAACAGATCATCAAATATGAAGCAGTTGTTTTCCATCACTCGTGTCACTTGCACTTCACAGTTTTGGGCCAGGCAGTTCCTTAAAATTCAGCTTTACATTTTATTTAATAGCACTGCTTCTTTTCATGTTACACATTTCTCTGAATAAAGCCAATAGCAATTGGAAATATAGTTCTTATTGTTACATCATTTTTCAATTTGTGATGTTATCTTATGAACTTGTTATGGAATAGTTCTACATTGTTTTAAATTTTATATTATTTTTATATTTTACTTACACACACACACCTGTTGTAAATCAACTACAGATGCAAACTGAGTCTTTAAGTACCTTCATTATCTTTTTTTTTTCATGAACTGCTTGAATCAAATAAAAAACAAATAGGCTTACTTGTTTTCCTACTTTTTAAAAATTTGGTTACAAGGATATTTATTCATAATTATTAGGGAATATTACAGCCATATTTTTCTAAACTACTTTTAATAATGGGATATAATTTTGCAAATTTATCCTTCTTTTTTGTGCATATGTATGTGTTTCAGCATTCATTTACTTACAATCCAAACTGAAAGCTAGGATATTATAAAAATTACTACTTCTCTGATATATTTACTCAGTTTATGTAATGTTCATTATATAGTGGCAGTGATATTAATATTGACTTTGCACGAATATCTAAATACTAAGTTAAAATGCACTATATTTTCTTTAAAAATAACCCATTTCTACACTCATTTAGATGATGTAAATATGAAAGTTTTAAGATGGAAAAAAAAAGCATTTTTATTCTTAACATGAAAATCAGAGAAAACATACCTTTAGCAAAAATACTTCATTGAAAATCAGAATTTGTGTATATCTGTTTACTAAAAACTTATGACATTTCATGAAGATATATTGAGTAAATTCAGAATTATAGAAGTTATAGTAGACATTAATTTTAATAAGAAAGTAAAAATTTATATGCATAGAAAATAGTTTAGTCTACTCCGATGTTACCAAGTCATTTATTGCTTATAAACACATATCAACAAGAACAATATTGATTATATCACTTTTTTTTGCATTACTCACTCACTAATTTGAAGCTTATGCTCTACTTACATTTAGTAGTTTTGAATCTTTGCTCTGAAGACCTTGAAGCAATAGGTGAACCATATTATCAGCTCTTGGAGTGCCTTTAGAACTACTTGTTTCAGGAAGTTTTTCAAGATGTAAGGCATTTAGTCTCTCTTCCATGGGTAACTGCACCAAACAAAAGCAATTTGCATCGTTAAAAGCAAGAATAACATGGTATAGTTATTAAAAATATTAACAAAAACATATTGCATAGAGTAGTGAAATGAAAAAGTAAAATATTTCCCACAGACTACAATTCTATATATACTTGTACAGAATTTAAATGAAAATTTGAATTGTACTCAATTTATATATTTTATGATACAGTTTGAAACTGCTAATGCTTTTTTAGTATGCAAGATGATTTTTAGTAACCTCACTTAATATAATATTCCTTGATAAAATAAAAAACAACAATAACTTTTAACTACAATTTTTACGTCATGATTGGATTGAAAGCAACACCTATGTCAGTGTTCTATTCCGTAGTATAAAGAAGTGTGTGTGTGTATATATATATACACACATACATTTTAAAAAACTTGTCATGATATTCAAATATTCTACAAGCAAGTCCTTTGTTCAAGATATCTGTTATTCTACCACTAAATAATAAAAGTTAGTAAAAACTAAAATAGATACTAAGTACAAAAATCATTAACAATAAGAACAAAATGGTAATAAATTTGTATTACTTCATTACTATTAGCTAATTCACGTTTTCTTTTCCCGAGAGAAAGATCTCCATCTTCTATTGGTCCAGCAGGTACCATGTGATCTGGAGCTAGATACTTGACTACTTTACCTTTTTCTGGTTGTTTTAACTACAGAAATAAAAAAGAAGTTATCCCTTTAATAAAGTTCAGAGTAAATATTAAAAAAAGGAATATAAATAATAACAAAAACAAACAGGAACAATTACAGACAAAAATTTTTAAAATAAGATTACAGATGAAACAGAGGAATAAACACAAAGTAGATTAAATCTATTTAGAATAAAAAGGTAATACAAAATGACCCCACCTTAAAAGAAAGAAAGGAAGGTAAAAACATAAAATAACATTTTAAGCGAAACAATACAAAGTTTCTAGAAAAAAGTGAAGGCTGGAAATACTGGTTTTAAATTAATACCATTAAGGTGTTATTAAAATCAAAAATAACTGTAGCTTAATAGTAAACTCAAAAACAACAATGATCAGGGGAATCCATCAGCCTCTTTGAAACTACACACTGCTCTAAATCAAGTAAATGACTGTACTATCTGTGTTCTGCCCACAATTGGTATCAAAACTCAACTTATAGCATTATAAGCTGACTTACTGCTGAGTCACCATGACTGGACTCAAAGAGTTTCTTAAAGGATGATATTGACTATCATGAACAACCTTAAGTAGGAGCAAGCAGTATAAGCACACTGTTTCCCACACTAGCAGCATACAGACATAGCTAACGTCAGCTTATGTCATTGACAGAGATCAGTTTACAGTTATCTTGTATTAAATCCTTATTACATATTAGAGTTAACCACGTGACCTTAAAATTTCAGCAAATCTTGCTCAATTTCAGCTATTTATTGTAGAATCTTTTAAATTATTTCTGTTGAGCTTTTAATTCTCAACCTGCCTCCTGCATATGAAGGATGTGCTGTGCCATATGTATGTGTGTGCGAGGTCTATATATATATATATATATATATACACATAATAAACACAAACACGTATGGGAAGGCTGCATGTTTTAAATAAATAAATCCATTATACAGTGTTGTTGTTTTATTATAGAGTTGAACAATGAAACAAAAACCGACTCAGTAGACTGAATGGAGTTGTTGCATTTAGATTTAAAGTAATTAAATGTAAAAACATGAAATGGCTATAAACAAAACATATATCTGTGCACAAAATTTTTTTTATATAAACACTTTGCCTTTTCAGATAATCACCATCTTTGACTAACATATTGAGATTTTTTCTTCATCAAACCCTGGATAAAGCAACATTATAAAATAGTTCAATTTTAAAATTATGGTATCAAGAAGTACAAAAATTTACTCTTATCATTTGTTGTTATTTCACTTATTTATCTTTTTCCTTCCATAATTGTATCAACATTTTCTTACTTTCCTCTAAAGTGTCAACAAAGCATCGGATCCAATACCACCTTTAATTAAAATAGTGTAATATTCTATTCTCCTAGTGTACAAAGCATATTTAAACTTTAGGCTTAATTTTTAATTTTTAGGTGCCTTTACTGAGACAGCTGAAAATGTATAATAGTTATAAAATAGTGAATTTTTTAAATTATGGTACCAAAAACTGTAAAAATAAACTGTATTTGTGTGTGTGTGTGTCTAAATTGCATTTGTATATCATCTTACACCTAGAATTATTCTCTTTTGCTCAATGTGTTAGCTGTAGAGCATTGAAAAATTAATAAAGTTGTAACAGTGTCTATTAAGGCTATTTGCCTATTTAAACTTTAGGCCTAACTGCTGATGGTACTGCATTATTTATAAGCCATAAAAAAGCAAAAAAATTAACTTAATGTGTTTCCTTGCATGTTTTTATATGTCACTGAAGTAACTGTCTCTAAAGTTAATGTTATATATGTCATAGTTTTGCACTCATATAAAACAATGCACATTAAATGTCATTCACTTTTGCACTCATATAAACTTAAAAGTACCACTGTGAAATTAGCCAACAGGAATATTGGGTTTCCACGTTAGCTGTGTTACATATTAGAATTCCAAATAGCCTGAAATTGAGTTAACTGATAAATTCAAATTTAGTAGTTAAATTGTTCTTTGGATTTAGTAGTTAACTAAAAGCCAATATATAGTCAGTTTGATATTTGCCAACAAGACTGATACTCACAGTTCTCTTTTTTAACACAAATATGTTTTAATACACACACAACAATATAATTTACAACAGTTATTACAAATAATTTATAAACAAAAGTTTCACAAACTTACAAGCAATATAAAGTCTTCTTTCTAGTCTTGTACTTCTTCGATATCTTATCGAGGGTTCATGTTGAGCGAGTTAATTACGAGTTGATATAGGTACAATTCGCTTAATGGGAAGTTAGCTAGCTTTGCCCTTCGTTATTTATTTGCCGCACATGCAGAGTTTTCCAAGATAAATTTATATAATGTTTTCATGAAAATACTAATGTCCGATGAGAATCCATCGAAGTTAAATGATATGTAATGTTCAAACTTTGTAAAGGTTCCTGGTAAAATATCTGAAGTTTTCCGATTGGTAAGCATTATATGAATCACAGTTATAGCTTCCAAAGTTTATAGAACACTAATAATAGATACTCTTTCTGATGCGCCACATTGGTTATATTAATAGGAGTAGGGAGTCTTTCTAGGAAATTCAGATATACGTAATAATACTGTGCTACATTTAAGTGTTTATGTACACACACATATATCACTGATTCTTACTCTTGAGAATCTTCTACAACTTTGGAGAATAGGCGGGAATTTGCAATACATGTAATAAAGATATAATAACAAATTTGTTACAGCTAGCACACATGGACTGACTGATACAGTTCTTTTAACTATAAAGATTCTGATATAAAAACTTAAAGAGGCTAATTTTCCCATTCCTGATGCTATCAACACCACTTATGACACTATAAAAATGCAAGTACAGGAAAGCTGTACAGGATGAGCATGTGTAAAAGTATGCAAACTATACTAATTCCTTGACTACAGGCTAAGTGCATTGCACCTACCAGTGACTACATGATAAGTACATTGCTCCTACTACATAACCACCAACAAAAATCATGAGATTAGTCATACTAGAACAATAAATAATGCATACATATCTTCATGAAATTTTGCAGACTATCAGTAAACATAAGGTTTTTACAAACAAAAAATCAGATTATTCAACCACGTGTTTTGATTAAAGATTTGCTTGTGAATTTTTGCTTCCAAAATTTTGGCTATCCAAAATGATTTTGATACTTAAAAATACTTTTCGTCTTTTATATTTATTAATTCATTTGCTTTACTGACTTTTGAACAGTGTTTAACTAATAATCCTACCACACAAGTTGTAAGTCATGCAGCTCATATTACTGTACTGAATAGCATACACCTGGCCTACAAAGTACACATCTCTTACTCTTCTTAGTCTTAGAACTAGCATACCAGTATTTTGTTAAATACAATGCCATTTCAGTGATGATATATTACACGTGTATATTACTATTTATATAAAATTTGTTAAATTTCAGTTATTTTTTATCAAAACATAGAACAGTAAGTAAAAAATATATGGGAAACAAGGACCTTTACTACCTACGATGTTATGAAGTTTTTTTTTGTACTTGTGTCGTACTTGTTAAGCCTTGTCCAATTTTTGTAGATTTTATGTGTGCATTTTGGAAAACCAAAAAATTATGAATTACTATAGTGATACCACAAAAATCCATTGTAATTTATCAGGCTTCTTAACTAAGCAGTATTTGGGTCTAAAAAAATCTCATTTCTGTTTGGTATATCACCTTGATCATCACACTTCATACTCTCCAACAGTTATCAGCACTTTTCCACATACTTTAAGAAGATTGACAGGATTATATAGTTCATAATGATCACTTTCAATTGGTTATAAACATGTATTTAAGGGAAGAAGACATAGGTAAAAAAAGTATTTTCAAATGGTAGGTTCACTAAATATAATGATATCTCAGCAAACAGATACTAGTGACACTCTAGTTTGTCAATATTGGTAATTTGAGTTTCTAATTTGTTAAAAACTGTAGACATGATGATGATGTAACCCATGTGACACACAAAAATATATATTTAAAAATGTTTTTACATTTACTTTTGAATAACGAAATTAAATAATGTATTATATTAAAATTTGAATTATAAATCACAATTTGATGCCATATTTATTGACATACATTCATAAAATAGTAGTCTAATAAAACTTTGAATGTAAGTCTACAAAACATGACAACATGCTCTGACCCCTAACTGTATGGAAATAATTAAGGTCCCAGTCAGGCATGGTAGTTGAGTAAGGAGGCTGGTGAAGAAAAAAGTAACAGAACACAGTGGAGAGGACAGAAAAAGAAAACACCCTGGGGTAACAGGAAAGATGAAATGTCATGGACAATACTGCCCAATAACCAGCAATGGTGGAGATCAACAAACCGTGGTTAAATAACTAGATAAAAAAAAGGTAGAAAGGTGGTTCACAGTTGGACGACTAGGAGAAAAGGAGTGGCAGATGGACCAACGATGAAAGACCCATCACTTTCATTGATAGACAGACATACAGGAAGGGCAACACGAATGTGACAAGAAAAATGCTACACAATTGGAGAGTATAGCCTGATGGGCAAGAGCCCAGACAAATCTCCAATGTGAAGATTGACGGATGATATCCCTTGATGAAAAAGGGATGTGAGAGGTTGAAGCAATAGATAGGGGACATTGGGTAGAGGAAGGAGGGTCTGGATGCTAATCAAAGAAGCAGAGGATACAAGGCTAAGCTGGCCAAAGAGATGCAAACAGTAAGACCTGACAAGAAGTGTCACATATCAAGGTAAGGATTTGAGGGATAAGGTGAAGAAGAGCATAGGCATATAGAAAAAGAGGATACCAGTCCTGGCTGAGTGCAATGACAACCAGAGCCATAGGATGAGGAACAGGGAACCAGAAGAGAGGAAGAGTTAAGAAGAATAGCAAAGGTATCTATGAGAGGTATGACCAACTAAGAACAAACCCAATAAAGTACTTGGAGGTGGAGAAACCACCCTATTTGTAGAATGCAGTGTGGACAAACAAAGTGGTCTGCCACCAGGTTCATAGCTCCTGGCACATGACAGACAACAAGAGTAGGCGTAATGTCCAAAAGCAAAGGGTCCTGGAATGGGTGCGCCCTCGATGGTTGATGTAAAAAACAATAGTGGAATTGTCAGAAAAGATCACGATCAAGTGATCCACTAGTAGGGGCATGAAATGTGAACATGCCCAAAAAACAGTGATAAGTTTCAGCACATTGATGAGAAGGGAATGCTTTTTCTGCATCCAAATGCCAGAAGTCATGTTGTCATTTAGAGAAACACCCCAACTTGAGAGGGAAAAGTTGGTGAATAAATGAAGATCCAGTCCAGGGATGGTGGTAAGGTAACATCTGAGGTGGTGTTGGCATGGTCCAATCACCATGACAATTCCTTGAGTATAGAAGAGAGGAGGGAAGATTCATAATTGAGAACAGTGGATCCCAAAAGGGAATCCACTTGTGCTGAATTATCCATTAAAGGAGATGCATGTGTGCACATTGCAAAGGAATAAGGGGTTCCCCAAAAATGAAAGAACCTGTCGTGCGGGATAAGAAGAAAAGGTGCAAATCTTGGTGACCAGATACTGCATAGCTCATAAACAAAGGGGAGAAGAGTGAGCTTGGTTTAGTTCAGAGTTGAAAAAGACACAAAAAAAACTAACATCAATTTAAATTGTTTGTGAGGTTTAATTGTGTAACTTTGTAGAAAAATATCAGAATAAACAACATAGCCATGTGTTTTCTAACATAGATGTAACATGTAAACTTCAATAAAATGAAAGAAGGACTGGGGAAATTTCCTTTTGTTTTAGCCATGTTTTCAACCCGTGTGCCAAGTACAAACTGTTGCAATAAAATGTCCTTTTTGCCTGCAGGCAGTGTACACAGTCAGGGACAAGTGGTCACTCTATTGCATTGGTTACTATTTTATTAGTCAATACCAAGCATTGTCCCATAACCAATACTGAACATTCACAAGCAGTACAGAGAAAATAAATGAGGGGATAAAATAACAATGAGCTATCTCTAAAAATATAGCTCTAAATGGTAATTATTATAGTTTATTGATGTAAAATCATGATATGATCATGGAATATTTCAAAAGAAAGAGTAGTTGGTAAAGGGATAGCCAATGGTCAGAAAATAGGAAGCAAAGAGTAGTACAATAGCACAAATATAGTTGGGAGGTAGTTTCAACAAAGAGACAGGGGAAAACTGATTATATAAAAATGAATAATAAGATAAAAAAAGGATATAAGGAACCTGGCCAAAAAACAATCATAAAAAACTAACTGCCATATTCTGAATCACTTTTCACAAACTGAGATTTGTCTAACACTCATTCTGAAAAATTTCATGAAAAGTTATAACAATAAAAGAATTAGCATTTTTTTAGACCTTGTATGCTGTAATGTTTGATAGTTTTTATTCCACAGGTATTCTATCAATGCATGATTATAGAGATCTGTAGAATCCTTATATAGTTTACAAAAATTTTACATAAACACTGAAGAGCCTTTATGTTTAAGCGCAAATGAAAGTTTGTAAGGTGATATATAACAAATATTTAGGAAAATCTAAATTAAAATTGTTGTCACATCGGATATTAAAGTTTTATAACTAAATAGTCTTGGTTTTTCTACTGTCATCAACAAAGATAAGCTAGAATACATTTAGAAATCTGATTTTATATTTTCAACTAACATTTAATGTCATTGTTTACTAACCTTTATCAGTATGATTGTGTATGTGTGTATGTATGTATATATATGTATATCCTAAGTACAGTAGTAGGAATGAGCCAGATGTAAGTATGTTCAAACAGGTAGGCAGTAGCACTGCATATGTAGGGATGGCCCAGACTGTTCATTGAAATGGTATTTTAAATATCTCCTCAATAGCTCTTCAGAACTTTGCAATACAGTGTTTCCTTTTATAACAATATCTATATAATAACTGAGTCATAAGTTCTGTAAATGTCATAGCAAAAAGTCATAATTTCTTGTTCTTTTTTATTACATTGTAGCTCAAAAACAATGGTGTGTACAAATTTCACTGAGGTGACATCATTTCAGATGGAGTATCTGCTTTTATAAATATTATCTTGTACGTATATAAAACAGATGATGCACTACTTTGGGCTTATAATTAGATTTGAGAGTAGGTTGGTAGAGATATAGATGAATAATAAAATCAAATCAGAGATGCCCGTGCCCCACGCTTTGTATTGCTGGCACACAAGAATATAGGTAACAATTGAAGAAATAAACTTTTCAAAAAGGAAGTAAATGTAGGGATGGTATTTGCATCATCCCTACATAATAACCCAAGCAATAATTAACATAGAGCACTTGTACATGTATATATAATGACAAAGCTGTGACTCGTCTTATGCACCAGATAATCATTACAAGAATTTGTTTTTTCTTTCATAACTTTTTAAAAAATAACCTATAAGACAGTATCCCTTCCTACTGATCTAAATGTGTAATTATGAATGCAAACAAAATTATTAAAAAAAAAATACACTAATAAATTGTTTATCCCTGTGATGATACCAGGTAGAAGTGCAGAACTCTTTATAAGTGAAAACATTCAGACACCATTATGGTAATTGGCAACCTGAAAATTTCGAGCTGGCTGCCATCTATGATATTTTATGTGAACTAAGCCTTAATGCATTTTCTATGGGCATTTTTTAGTTCCTCTCTCTTATAAAAAATGTATTATTTAATAAGATTTAACATTTTAAAAGTAAATCATCAACGTAATTGAAGTGGATAACCTTTTAGATTTGAGTCTACTTGTGACTGGTTTTACTTTATATCATAAAATTATTACAAAATGGAATGTTTACATAAAAAAACATTGAAAAAATATTACACTATAAAACCAAAAATGATTAACCACTCAGATACGATGGAGAGTAATTATATACAAAACATTGAATACTTTAACCATATAATTTTTATGCATTAATTGAATTTCATGTTTAGAAAGTAACTTTTTTTAAATTCATTTAATAAAAAACTGTTAATAAATGGCCTAATTTCAACCTGTACTTAAATCTTTAGTTTCTTTACTATTCCAAGTTGTTATTTTTTTAGAACATTTTATTTACCAATCTTGAAAAATGCACATGGAGCATCATCCTTTCAATACTTGGTAAGAAAACCTTAAGTTAATTTTTTGGCAATATATAGAACTGACAAGGGGTAAGTCACACAGGTGAAAAAGTCTGTAATTTTACAGCCAAGACACTGATTTCTTAACATGCATTTTCAAACTGGTCTATGATTTTTACTGCTTTCTCTTTTGTATTATATTTTTTCAGGTGTCATGAAGGAAAAAAAAAAAGGTTTTTGAACATCCTACACATGCTTAACATTTGCCACATCATTCCTACAGTGAAGAATCTTACAAAAATTTAAATAGGTTATAGAGAAAAAATAAACATTATTAATATTCTAATGTCTTGGTAAATTTCTGTAATTCAGGTGTAGGTCAGTTGAAAGAAATAAGGATTTTCAATAGTGATGAATGTCAAACATACTGTGTTTGTCATATTTGCTACAACATTACACTGTCAGTTATACATTATCAATGAGTAAAGGCAAGCAGTCCTTTAGGCAAGATTTCAAACAAATTATTCAAGTCTGTAAAAAACTAAAATGGCAGCAGCTACAATTTTGTACTGAAAAAATGAGCTCTGTTCTGTAGCATCTCAAACTTCATTTTCTAATTTATTAAAATATGCATTTCAAAACTTAAATTAAAGTAAAAATATGTGATAACTATTAATCCAAAATGTAGATTTTACCTTAGTAACATCAGTTTCCACTGTCACTATGGTTTTAGCAGGATCCTGTCGTACCAACCAGGTCTCTGGCTTACAGTCTCCTAAAAACTAAACAACAGAAAATTTAAAATGTTGTGAAATAAAACTTTAATAAATAAAAACATAAATAATAATAATGACACCATTTATTTTTGACTACCAATACTGTGGCAAGTCTTCTGACTTGCAATGCTAAAATCAGGGGTTCAATTCCCCTTGATGGACAAAGCAAATAGCCTGATGTGACTTTGCTACAAGAAAACACACACACTGTGCCTAAGTATTAATTACCAAAGTATTTTTAATATCAAAATAATGATAGCAAGCTTTTACATAGAAATAAATATTTTAAAGTATTTTCTAGTTTATAAAACTAATACTTACCAACTTTTCAAATGTTGGCTTGATAAAGTTACCATGAGCAATCAAAACAGACGATTTAGCAGATGCAAATACGTGGGCAGCAAGAATTGGAATAGGTTTAGGTTTCTCTATCCCATCTTCGCTTCCTTCAGAAGCTATCTGTACTGTGGATTTGGGAGTAAGAGGTTTCTTGCATTTCCTAGTATTATTAAAGGTAGAAATTGATGTACGTGGAAACAATTTGCAAATACTTTATTTTTTATTTTTAAATCAATTGCACAAATATATATCTTAATTAGATTTTGCAATTAATATACATATTATGGTAAATACAACACATTGTCAAAATTGTATGAATAAACCATTATGTCAACTAGCTTTTCTAGCTATCACAGTTTTTTTTGACAAAATTTCTTATTAGCTCAGGAATATCGCAACACTGACCTATTTAATGACTCAGATACATTTATAATAGTGAAAGCTCAAAACCTGGAAAATAAAGAAGCATTTTACTGTGTATGGTTATAGTTTATGAAATACAGAATGATTAGCATCTAATACTTCTATGAAATTCATTTAGGTTTAGCATAATCTATGTATTCTGATTATATGATAAAGTAATGAATAAATAAACAAAAGTTATTTTTATATATATATATATATATATATATATATATATACACACACACACACCCATCATACCAATAAAGCAATAGATACTTCAGAGAAATCCATAACAAATTATTAAAATTATGTGTGATAAAAGAGCAGATGTTTTGAAATATTATTTCTTTTGATTTGAGAAATCATGGTAATAAACAAAAAATTGTACTGATCAAGTTTCACAATGAATGGAAAGAATCACTTAAGGCTTTCTTAGTGTTAATGTTTTCAGGAAATTCTCCATATTAATTACTTAAAATCTTAAAAATGACAAGATATTTGTAAATACATAGAAAACTTACCCATTTAATTGATGCTCAAAAACACACAGTGCACCATTCATCATAACTACAGATAATGTAATGGGCTAAAAAAAAAAGGCAATTATTTACATTTTTTAAAATAATTGTAGATGGTTCAATGTTTAAGTACTGAAATAAAACAATTATAAAATTTCAAATTAGAAAAAAAAGTCATGCCCACCTTTTTAATATAGTATAACAAGTGTTTAAACAACTTTCGTAACTATGACAAAATCATGTAATAAAAGAAATATAGTATTGAAGCAGTATTGTTTCTCATCAATCCAAATGAAGAAGCAATGTATGGTTTAAGTCAACACCAGCCTTTATAGCCAAACAGAAAAACAAAAAAACTATTTCAAACATCTGAGAAGAATCAATCCTCACTGGACAACAACAATAAAAAAAGACACAATGTGCAGTTTTAAGTCAGCATAAATAATCTCTCACAGGTTAAATCACAGAGAGAAGCAATATATAGTTGTGGGTTTTGCTTATGCTTAAGCATAACCAACTGATAATCAATTATTAATTGGTTACTGGAAGCAGGTGAACAGTTAAAACAGTCCTATGAATTAGGTCATCAAGATATTAATGTTGCTTTTTTTTTACATTAAAAAACCTGAACTACTTATATATCAAAACAAAACATTTATTAAATGAAATAGGCTCCATTATTATCAATGATGCTTTTTCAATCTTACAATCAGGTTGTTAATGCTCTCATTAAAGAAATCACTTGCATATGTTTTCCCATTAAGATGGTGTTGCAGCGAACGAAAAAGATGGTAATCTGTTGGTGACATATCTGGAGAATATGGTGGGTGGGGAGAATATCCCAACCCAACTCCATAATCGTGTTCCATCAAACGTGCCACATCTGGACGTGCATTGTCGTGGTGAAGAAGAACACCTTTCTGATTGACTAGTGAAGGACATTTCTGATGAAGGGCTTGATTTAAATGTTCCAGTTGCTGGCTATAGATCTCTGCATTGAGAAAGTTCAATGTGGATTGAGGAGTTCGAAATGAATTACTCCTTTGATGTCTCACCAAATGTAAAGTATCACTTTCTGCGGATGGAGTCCAGGTTTTTGGGTTGGAAGAAGTTTTTGTCTAGGACTGAGCCATTGTTTTAGGAAATTAATATTAATGCTATACCAAAAATGTTCACGTGCCACAAGAAATGAAGCAACTTTCACACGTTGGAAATGAAGATCA